TAAAGATAGAGTAAAGATTTCTCATGATTGGTAATTGTTACATGTCAAATATAGAGTAAAGACTTATTATTATTGTTTATTGTTACGTGTTAAATATAGAGTAAAGATTTCTCATGATTGGTAATTGTTACATATCAAATATAGAGTAAAGATTTATATTATTGGTAATTGTTACATGTCAAATATAGAGTAAAGACTTATTATTATTGTTTATTGTTACGTGTTAAATATAGAGTAAAGACTTTTCATGATTGGTGATTGTTACATATCAAATATAGAGAAAAGACTTATTATTATTGTTTATTGTTACGTGTTAAATATAGAGTAAAGATTTCTCATGATTGGTGATTGTTACATATCAAATATAGAGTAAAGATTTATTATTATTGTTTATTGTTACGTGTTAAATATAGAGTAAAGATTTCTCATGATTGGTAATTGTTACATATTAAATATAGAGTACAGATTTCTCATGATTTTTTATTGTTACATATTAACTGGTATGTTTCCTCATGATTAGTATCTTAAAATTGAGTAGTTTTTTCCCCCACACATTTAGGAGCTGCGACTCAACAAATCAACGGTACCATCCCAAATATACCTTCCCCTACTCTGTCTACTTCAACCATACCTCAAGCTAACGGCCAAACAGGCGAGGTGTATGCAAATGGAATGCTTCATTATCCCCGTAAGTGTTAGATAGATATATAGACAGTGGTTTAGTAAATCGTACACATTTTATTTCAGTTAATTCATTAATGTTTCTTATAGGATTCTGTACTCTTGAAATCCATAGAGATAATATATATATATGTATTTCTAATTGTTGTTTTTTTTTAAACCGAGTTTCAGAGTGAAAGAATTGAATAGATCTTAGTCCGTTTTTGAAGGACTGAACAAGAGGCCAAAGTTCCTGGCTGCGAATCAAAAGGTCCAAGAGCCGAGTCCGCGATATGCCACTGAATACACTTTCAGTTTTTAGAGTGTTATAAAAATGACAATCAACCTCGCTATTCGATTAACGGTAGCCGTATAGGCGTTGGGTGCTGTTGACGGGTTTCTCGCTGATCAGTTGTAGATTAAAGACGACTAGGTCTGATCCTCTTCTCAGTTTGAAAATAGCAAATACCATTTCTGAACTAAATAGTTAATTTCTTAACCCTTTTTTTTATTTTTATTCTTGAGTATTCATTCATTTCTAAATTCCTTAAGATATTACGACTTGCATTGTGGGAAATTTCATCAGAAAAAGCATGTTTCATTTTTAGAATGTAATTAAAATATCTTTGCACTCCCAAGATAAAACAGACAATTTAATCATCTTTACGAGACAACGTTTCAACTACGTTTCATCCGCCATTATGAGGCGTAATTGGACAATCTGAATCGAAAACTACTTCTTTTTTTTTTCACTTTGCTCGAAGAAAATCTTCATAATTATTTGTGGTTCAAATAATATTATTGTTCCAGAATGTGATAACAGTTGTAGGTAATATTTTAATTAAGATAAAAGTTACATCAAAAAATATTAAGACCGATCCACGGATTAAAATTATTCAAGAAAACGAATATAGCAAATATTTATCTCAAAACAAACTAATGTGAAGAATAAAATGATTTAAATTTAATTAATTAGGACTAATTAATTTTCTTTAATAGTGATTTCTTAATCAAAGGTTTGAATCGTACTTGCTAGCAACAGAAAGAGAAGAGTTAGAGTTTTCATAAGATGGATAGTTCCATGAACTCATTGGTTCTTTTGATTTATGAATGATTAAAAAAAAACAACATACTTTAGGTGAGAACGTTTACTCACTTGTCTGAGGCAGCAGTTGATGTGTATTAATTATTTACTCTAGTTAATCTGTCTTAAAAGTGCAAGTATTAACATTAATTCCTTACATTTTTACTGTATGAATATTACTACAGCGATGATAAATTTCTTTGGCAGGCTGAAACATAAAGGGTTTAGTTCTTATATCTCTTTCAGCACAAGCGATACCGAACGGAGAAGCGCTCCAGCCGGCTGGTTATCCCGGTCTACAAGCCTATCCTGGAATCCGTAAGTAGCAGAGAAACAGACGAGTCTACGTTTCGTGTGGCAGACGTAACTTACTAAACTTTTAGCAGACTTTTTATCATACTTTTACTTACTGCTGACAAACATTTTTCTAAAATTTTGGTACAAACGCACATATCCATAAATTTCAAGATCATTAATGTCTTTTATTATGTCTTCATAAACTGTTAATTGTTTTTAGTGTCCATTGTTGGCCAATGACCAAAATGTTTTAGGATTTTATTTTGAGCAACCAGTTGCAAGACATGAGCAGATAAGCCTCCTCCTTACCCTAAAGTTTCATTTTTATAAATCATGGTGTTTAATCAAGCAGTGCATCAGGAGAATCAGCAAAGCCGTACAATGGGTTGTAACCAACGGGAGAATCGAATCCTGGGTTTTAACATTATTAGCCAGGGAAGGGGAGTTATTTGAGGATATAAAAGGCTATAAATCACTTGCTTTTCACGCAGTGCTACGACATTCTGCATATGAATTCTTATAAGGTTAAAGACAGTTTAACTGACTGATCGCATATCATTTCACTTGACTATCTGCACATAAGGTTACTTCACTATCTACAGTTTATCTAATCAACGCCTACTTCAATATAGTTTACTTCACATAATTTACTTAGTTTTCTGTCGTTGATTTTTCTGTGTGTGTGTGTGTGAAAAGAAAAGAATAATATTCCTCCATACTTGTTTAACCGTTGGGTGACATAAATTCCTATAGAATTTTATATGGCATAGTATTGTCATGTTCGTAATCAATCCATTTTTGGACCAAAAATCAACGTAGAATTTTTAGAAATTTATAATTACAAACAAATCATGATGAAGCTATTTACGAAACATTGTTTATTTGTCTTAGAGAAAAGCCACATTGGGCTATCTGCTGTGTCCACGGGTGGAAATCGAACTCCTGATTCTATCATTGTAAGTCTGTAAGCTTTCCGCTGTCCCACCGGGGAGGGGGGGGGTAAGGAAATACTGAAACAAAATATTATATTTCTTTTTTCATGATTCCCTTAACATTATTAGGCCCGGCATGGCCAGGATGTTTTGAGCGCTCGACTCGCAATGTGCGGGTCGCGGGTTCAAATCCACGTCCCGCCAAACGTGCTCGCCCTTTCAAGTCGT